AGCAGCTGGGCGAGCTCTGCACCGAGCGCGACCCCTGCGACCACCACAAGGGGCTCTTCTGCGATTTCGGCTCCCCCGCCAACCGCAGAATCGGCGTCTGCACCGGTGAGTGGGGCCGGGGCTGCCGCCCGCCGCGGGGACGGGAACAGGGTCCCGCCGGGCAGGGAGCGAGGGAAGTGGGAACCTCCGGGACTCACGTCCCACGACTCACGCTCTGCCTCCCTGCCCCTTGCAGCTCGGGACGGCGCCCCGTGCGTGTTCAGCGGCATGGTGTACCGGAGCGGAGAGTCCTTCCAGAGCAGCTGCAAGTACCAGTGCACCTGCCTGGACGGCGCGGTGGGCTGCGTGCCCCTGTGCGGCATGGACGTCCGCCTGCCCAGCCCCGACTGCCCCTACCCGCGCCGGGTGAAGCTCCCTGGGAAGTGCTGCGAGGAGTGGGTCTGCGATGAGGCCAAAGAGCAGACTGCCGTGGGACCTGCGCTTGCCGGTGAGTGGGGGCTCTCTGCAGACGGCAGCCAGGGAAAGAGGGCACCCTGCATGGAGGCTGAAGGCAGTGGGCTAGGTGGACACAGGGCAGAGGCTGGAGAGCTGCGGTTAGTGGAATCACCCCATGCACGGATTTAGTGTAGCTGCCTGGATTTCTCAGGAAAAGGAAGGAACATTCAGATGGTTGAGGTCAGGCAGTGGTCTCATTTTGGCTTTCTGTCTTCTGCAGCTTACAGACTGGAAGACACTTACGGTCCAGACCCAACAATGATGCGTGCCAACTGCCTGGTGCAGACCACGGAATGGAGTGCTTGCTCCAAGACCTGTGGCATGGGTATCTCTACCAGGGTCACCAATGATAATGCCTTCTGCAGACTGGAGAAACAGAGTAGACTCTGCATGGTCAGACCTTGTGAAGCAGACCTGGAGGAGAACATCAAGGTAAATACAATTATCGTTATCTATGCTGTACGAGGTTGCTTCCACCCATTAGCAAAGGACACTGACCAAAAGTGCAGTGCTGACAGGTAGTCAGTTTCAAGGGGTTTCCTTTGAAATTTGAGTTTTACCCTAGTGGTGATCACTGTTTAAATGTCCTTAGTTTTCTCTTATGCTGTATTATGGCACTGTGTAAGACAGTCTTGCCTTATGATAATACAGTAAGGATTAGCATGTCTGCTCACCACTAATTTCAAGCTTGGTAAGCTTTGTGAAAGCCTACCTTCGTAACACCTTGTATTCATTTCCATCCTAACAGAAAGGCAAAAAGTGCATTCGCACCCCCAAAATCTCCAAGCCCATCAAGTTTGAGCTGTCTGGCTGCACCAGCGTGAAGACCTACAGAGCTAAGTTCTGTGGTGTTTGCACTGATGGGCGCTGCTGCACACCCCACAGAACAGCCACCCTCCCTGTGGAGTTCAAGTGCCCTGATGGGGAGATCATGAAAAGGAAAATGATGTTCATCAAGACCTGCGCGTGCCACTACAACTGCCCTGGAGACAATGACATCTTTGAGTCTCTGTACTACAGAAAGATGTATGGAGACATGGCGTAAAGCCGGAAGGAGACGCTAAGTACATTCTCAACTTGAACTGATTTGCATCTCATTTTGTAAACATGATTCAATAGCACAAGGTATTTAAATCAGTTTTTTTTTTATTTCAACAAACTGCTCCATGTGACTTAAGACAATTTTTCTACTGACCCCAAATGGTGGTTTGAAGAAGAACGTAAAACGGACAGTGGGACCGCAGCAAGACACAGCTTCAGAACGTGTTGTTCCTGAGTTGGTGTGATGGGGTTAAGGGAAACAGGCAGGAAAAGCAGATTCAAGCAAACGTTCCCTTAATGTGGTACAGCATGCTTCATTTAGTAGTGCAATTGAGAAGAGACCATTAGCATGTTTGCTGGTGCTGCCTTAGAGACAGCAACAGCTGGAATGCAAACACCCAGCAAAGTGCTAAGTAGAAGGTGTTCTGTTAGTCAGGACAGTAATGTTTCAGCTCTGACACTCTGATTCAGATGGCTTGGCCAACAAGAGTCAGAACCATGTCAATTAGACTGGACAGCTTGTGGCAGTTAATTTACCTGTAACAAGCTACTTTTTATGAATATTGTAAATACTGTGTGTATATATAATTGTACAGTTATCTAAATTAATTTAAAGTTTTGTGCTTTTGTTTAATGCTTTGAAAGTTCAATGATAGCCTTCTGTTTTGGAACAAGATAGGTAAGATTTAAAGCTTGTTTGACAATGCATTCAAAGCATGAAATAGATACTCTAGTGGAAATTGTTCAGATAGGGTTAAATGGTGAGTTGAGGTCAAGATGAAGTTGAGGTGCCTGTAATGTTACAAAACATTTGTCTGGCAGAGTATGTTTACCTACTACTTTATAAGACAAGTGGCTTTAAGAGAAATGGCTGTTCTGTAGCTCATCAGTCTTTCCACTTGAGCATTTGTTTCTTTCTTTGACTATGGCTCTTTTTGGACAGTTTATTTGTTGAGAAGTGTGACCAAAAGTTACATGTTTGCACCTTTTTAGTTGAAAATAAAGTATTTATATTTTTTATATAAATGGCTTGGTATTTCATTTACCTTTAGTCTCCAGTATTCCTTTTTCATGTTTCTAAAGGAATTGCCTTTGCAGTAGATGAAAATCAAGTAATATGTGGTGGGTTTTTTCTCCAGAAGCACATACACTTAGGAATTAGCTAATGATTTACTTATGCTGTTATTAGTGAACCAACTGTAGTTTGCTACTCTTCTGAATTTAGAATGGAGGGAAGGGCCAGGCTTGCTTTGGCAAGTCCAGTACAGTACTAGAAGGTGCAGAAGGTCTCCTCATGCATCACAGGTAGTTAGAAGGGAGCCAGCTGGTCACCATGGTATTCAACTGCTGCTTAATTTTATTGAGATGTTCCACTGGTTAAGATTTGTTTTCAGCTAAGGCAAGATTTTTTTTTTTTAATTACTAAAAGCATTGAAGAGGTTCTTGAATCTAGACTTAAATCCAGAAGTCCAAAATTTGGTACAATTCTCAGGGAAGAGCTGATGAGTTGTATCATAAAAACCATAGAATACACAGGTTGGAAGGACCCTCTAAAAAACTTCTGATTTAACCTTCATGCAGTGTAGGGCTAATTTAGATGTAGCTTCACTTGAATTAACACCTAAGTGTGGTATGGTAGACCACTGAGCTCTGGTGGCAATTGCAGATCATCTTCCTGCTTTTTTTTTTTTTCTGCAGATTAAGCAGATCATCTTCCTGCTTGCTGGCAAGGCCAAATCATTATATGTGACAGTTCTGTGTAAAGTGTCCATGGGTTCAAACTCTTGCAGAGCCACAGATGAGAAATACTGTAAGAGCTACACATTTTAATAATGGTCCAAACACTCTCCTTCGATAAGCAAGAGCAATTGTAAGGACAGTTGTGAGTCACTTGCCTCATCCCTGTGAAGCAAAAAGAAAAGCTTCAGTCCTGTGCTGGGTCCTACATCAATAACAGTCTTTTTTGTCCCTTTATTAAGACAAGGAGATTCTTTGAATTCAAAATTAACCTTTGCACTAGAAGAATTAGTTCTTGCTTTCAGAAAAAAACCATGTTCTCCAACAAGAATCCTTTTCAGGCTAACAAGTTCAATCTGGAATTTCCTGGTGCTGAAAGAGTGTTAGCTTACAAAAATGTCCATCCTTCCTGAGCACCTTCCAATCCCATTGATTTCAGCTAGCATTAGCAGCAAATCAGTGTAACACCAGCTTTGACTAATGATGAACAACATCATGAGCCCTAAACTAATGGGAAGTCAATGGGAGTCTTGCCAATGGCTTCACCAGGCTTTGCTCAAGGCCACAGAAGCATTTTCCCTTCCTCTGAAAAATAAAAGGAATTCTCCTGGCATGAGGAAGTGGCTTTCTATGTCCCATACAAAATAGTTTTGGGTAGCCTCTGGCTCTTATGCTCCCTGAGACTCTCCAGCATTTTTTCTCTATTTTTTTTCCAGGTTATGCATATTGTGCAGCCATTCAGTTCATCCTGGAAATGCTTCGAACACTCGTACAGCACCAAGGACTGGTTGCCTGACTGCTACTGTGGCTCCACCCCCAAATAACAAGAAAACTGTCATTTCTGGTCCCAGAAAGGACGGGATGGATGTGGACTTCATTCATAACCATCACTGTAGAAGCTCTCAGGATCAGCAGAACAGAAAGAAGCATGATGTACCTGGCAGGTTGAGATTAATTCCTGTGAGAGATGGGGTGCTTATGGCACTGCTTAAGCCAGCTGATGAACAGCTGTGCCCTGCAGTCTTTTACCAATTAGTACCAGATATTATAATGAATGCCATTTCATAATACCATCATTCCCATGAGCCTCATGACCACAGGCCCATGAGATTCACTCATGCTTTGCTCCCAGCTCTCTGCATCGTGGGCTGTATCTCCAACACCTAAGCCACACAACTCTGTGGCCTCCCCTGGCCCTGTCGTCCCACTGTGCCTGGCAAACAAGGCTGGAGGGTCAGAGAGCAACAGCAGGGCTGTGGTTGAGGAAGGGCTGTCTGAAAGACATCCACAAAGGGGTTCCCCCAAAGCAGCCCGGGACCACTGCCTATCCTCTCCCAGATTATGTGATGATGACACTGCCTTGCCTGCCATCTGACACATTATTGCACTGTTTCACAGTGCCAGCAAAGCACAGAGGAGGCATGTCAGAATATTTTGATAGTGGTTTTCTGTTGCCACTGTGAATTAAAATGAGGGAATAAGCTACATACATTGTTAGGCAAATTGTTGCTCTCCCCTGAGCATATCAGGGATCATAAATCTCAGGTATGCATTATAATGAATTGCACTCCTTTTTCCAGGAATGTGTAGTCTTCTGACAGAAGCATATATTTTACACCATTTCACAAAGGTTTTATCAGAGAGAAATGACTCTGAAAATTTCTTTATCAATCAGTAAAGAAAATGAAAGATTTTGTTGTAAGCTCTCCTAGAGGTGTAGGTAGGCATCATACTATTTATAAGGCTTTCTTTCAAAGGTATCCTGGAAAAAAGGAGCCCTTGTGTGGAATTTATGGCATCTTAAATGATGGCTACAATGTGGGCCTTTCAACCGTAAAGAAGTTTCCTGCTTTCATTCTTTGTGCCTAAGATGCATAGATGGAAGAATAAAACCTTGAGTTCAAAAGTCCAAAGTCACTTACATGGGAGAGAACACTGGTTCACGTTCCTTTCAAAATACCTTGTTTTGGAGGCCTGCTTTTGGTTGTTTCCAACCTCAGAAAATCCTAATGTGCAGGTTTGCTACTGTACTTTTAAAATATTTTATTCATATATGAAAGTATATTCATTCTAATTCCTAGCTTCTTTAAATGGGTCTCCAGCTATATTAATAATACTGTTGGTAAAGAATCACTGTAAAGTCAATACTAATTTAATAAAAATATTAAATTAAATATTAAACAGAAATTCAAGGTGGCTCAAGACCAGAGTATCAAATACTTTGAAATAGTTCTAAGCCATCGTATTTCAGATTTTTGTACCATAACACTTTTGCATGGATTTGCAGCTTAGCTTTCTAACACAATACAGATGTGAACAACAGGCACAGATTATAGCCCTTTCATATGAAATAGGCTCTACTGTCCAGATGGAAATTTGTCAGATTCCTCAGAGCTAAGACACATCCAAAAGACACTAGTTAAAAAAGTCTTCAAGAATGAGCCATTTTTAATGATCTGCAACCACACAGGAACAAATAAGTCTTTGAACAGTATCCAGTTGTTTGTCTCACAAAGACGAGGACTCAGCTGAGAAAACTGACTTTTGGACACCACTAGAAATAGCATATTCTTTACTAGATCATTTGTATTTTTTTCATGTAGCATAGCTTTTTCAGACCTCACACTCGAAGAAAGCTCTCATTTCATTATACTGAAAAGGACATTAAATATAAGAAGGAACAGTAATATTCTTACCTGAATATATAATAATTCAACCATTCTGACTTTGTATCCTACCACCAAAAACCCAAGCTCTTTAAAAACAGTGCTTAAATGTGGCTTTAACTGATGTTGTACTATGCCTACATATGGAAGTAGTTAGCAAGGAGAAATTGGGATGAAATACCACTGTAAGGCTTTGCCCAAAACCCAAGAAGAATCTGAGAGAGGAAGTAGTTCAGTTAACTTATTTTTCCTCTCATTTTCCACTTTTTTTCCTCCCTGCAGTTCCTTTGATTCATGTCCATAAATGGACATACCAAAAGCCACTACATTCTCACAGTGTTTTTCAGCCTGCCTGGAACCAGGAAATACCAGGAATTTCTTCAAGGAACCTGTTCCCAAACTGTGCTAAAGCCTTCAACACATTCAGTGTTTGAACAGAGTTTAGAAGCATGACTAAGGTCCCATCTCCACTGCAAGATTCAGCATTGCTGCTGCATCAGAGAACAGCTGCTTGCTAGCTTTTAGCGCTAGCCCTGGCTTTTTCAGCTCTTCTCTGTGCTAGTCCAAGCCCACATACCCAGAGAAGTGAATTTGGGCCCATACTGAAATGTCCCACCCTGAAACATCTGGCTGCATATTGTGGCAGCATTCCTCAGCTCCTGTCTGTTATTGGGGCAGCGCCAATTGCAGGACTATATACATTTGCTTAATGGTGAGTAAATTCAACCCTGATAGTAGTATAATGGTGTTTATGTTGTGAGGAAAAAAGCATTTTACAGCCTCCTGAGCAGGACCAAAAGGTTGCTAACATGGTACTGCAGTGCTAATACAATCCAGTGGTGCCTCCATTCATTACTCAGCCCCATTAAATGAGCCACTGAAAGAAATGCACAGTCCAAATAAATGTTTGTTGGTTTAAATTAGACCTATTAAAAGCAGGTATTTAGCAGCTTTCAGCAGCTACAAAATATGTTTTCCTGCTCCTGAGCTCAATGAAAGAACCAGCTTTTCAGCTAGTTTTCAGGCCTCCAGTCAGCCTAGCTAGCTGACATTGCTGCAGTCAGACATGTGGCATTTGCTGGGCAATAAGCACTTCCAGGAGCACAAACTGCACAAGATAATATTCTGTAAACAGCTAAAATCACAACCTAGTATAACTTGCTAGGGAAGTGATAAACCAGTGTATCTGGTAAATGAAAGAGAAGGACAAGGATTAAAAATAGATCTGAAATACTATTCAAACCTTAGAAAATGTAACATGTGGGAAGGTATTAGATATAACCATAATAAACTGTGATATGGTGTTAAGGATGCTTTTTTAATTCATAGAGCAATGGAAATAAGTAATAAGTAATAAGAAATCATATTTGGCCTTTTTCATTTATACGTGCTGTTTTAATTCTAA